AACATGCATTCTTGGCACACTATAGAATTAATCTTCAGTTACTACTTTGCCCACTACTATAAGTATTGCCTCTCGACGGAGAGTGCCTGAATAATAATCAAGAGACCTAACGATTCACGCAATGTAATTATGAGATACTTCTTATATATGTTCACGATTAAACAGACTGCTTTTAATATACAATGAAACAATAATAGCAATAGCTCTAGCAAAGATGAAATAAATTAGCTCAATACCATTAAATCTAATCCATAGAATCAGTCAAATTATATGCTACACAAATAGCAGTTCAAAATCGCCTCGAGATCAGAGAATTCCGTCAATATGTCCCAACTATTGCATCAATTCGCCTACCTAAGAAGCAACTATCCTGTCCGTTTGCCCCATACAATCTCTCTTGATTTAGATTCACTTATGTAGCCTTCACTTGAAGTATTTAAGCCAAATTTCAACCGAAACGTGATTCTAGACCACCTTGTATGTAGGATACATCAGACACTTGTGAGCCACGGCTCAATAAGCCGTAACTTTATTGGTTGGAACCGAGGCCAAGTCAGGGCAGGATCGTCACATTTCTTCCCCAACAGTACTTTGATGGATCCATTATCGTAGTTCTTCTATCTATCTCTATGAAATGAAAGCTGGATATTTTACAATTTCACCTCAACTTCGCCATAAAATTCATCAAAGGTCTCACTACTTCATGAAAGGTTTTCAAAACTAGACGAATAGCCGTTTGAGTTTGAGCGTTAACAGAACGATGTGCCCTCATGATTGAGTTTGTAAGATATCCCAAAGCCTCTTTTACGACTTCACAATGCAAATTTGACTAAACTCTTCAGGTGTGACAGCGCAAAAGAAGAATGGATTAGTCTTACCCCGGATCTGATTCACAAGCTCACATTTTGCCTTGATTGGGGTAATCAATTGTGTCCCACTTTTCAATTGTTTGGGGAAAGTTACTCCTCCGGTCTATCAACGTTAATTGTTTGTTCCGTTCCACCCATATTCATGACAGCAGCATTACTCGAACCTGTTTCGCCCACTGCTTCTACCTATAGCAAATTCATCACAAACTATCTCGATCCGAGCTTATCACAGCAACAAAAACGAGGAATAAGTGTGCGAGTCCAGTCTAATAGTATTGCAAGGTATAGTGTGTCGAGACGCATAGACATTACTCCACTCACTCCTTACATATTGATACACCCACTTATCACAGAGATTGTATCAACGAAGATCGCGTCTCCTCACAAGAGCCATATTATTCTCTAATCATCAGAAAAAACATATAGCATCACAGACTGCATTGCGACTGCTGACCACAATTCAAGCTGTATACAACTTAACTATGAATATCCCCTTAAGATTGATTGATTGTCAGCACATTAATAAAATAGGACTCTAAGAGTACTCAATTTCCTATCACATTATTCATAGCCACAATAGAATGATATTAAAGAGAAGTGCCACAAACAGAACAATACAACACGAAATACATAGAGCGCCACAAAACACAACTCATTCTTTATCTGTGGATCACAATACCCAGATTGTATACCCTACACAATCATTCGTGATCCAAACACACACATGCAACTTGCAACCACACATGCAAAACAACATCAGAACTCATCACATCGACACTAAGAAAGTTAAGTAGAATAGAGCATCTACAAGAACGGTATATACTCTAACTTATGCTTACCTAAGCATACATCTACGCTCCGCACCAATTTGAACCAACTCTCTATATGAACCGACTTAACTCATTAAAACACTAGCAAGAATACACATCTAGGACATGCAACACAATGCTCAATGGGACTAACCAACACCAAACAAATCCCTTTATCGAGAGACCCATCGTCTTCAACACATCGGAATTTGCTTCGCACGATGAGACTCGCACTACGTAATGCCATCCAACATAGCTAATCGTAAGAGCGTCATAAGATGCTCAGCTTATAATCCACCACATACGACGAAGAACACTCTGCTCCATACTTAAATGAAATAATGTAACTACACAATCATATGAGACTAGTAACTGAATAGATGTCTGTGTAAAAGCAGATAAGATGTTGAGGCAAACACATAACTCAATGCTCATACATCAAAAAGCGAATTACCATCTTAGCATATATAAGAATTCCACTAAGATACTAATAAGAACCTCCATAGAATCCCAAAAAAAGATCTGGAGAAGTTACCAGTTTTGGAGAAAACCAACTATTATAGAGAAATCCAAAGTAATCCTAGTTTTGGAAGAAAACCAATTCCTTATAGAAATCCAAGAATCTGTGCTCGCGCGGTCCGCTTGAGCGTGAGACTTCCCGCTCGAGCGGAGGCTTCAAAATTGTGTGATTCATATAGGCTTCACGCTCGAGCGGCCATTTCCACACTCGAGTGTAGAATCACCCCATCCAGTACTTTTTCAGGTGAAGCAGAGATGTTGTGAGCTTGCAATCCCCGCTCGAGCGGGACGACCAAAATTGGAAAATCTGGAAAACTTAATCCTATTACAACCTCGATTTTGATCCATGGAAATTGACAAAGGCACGATTCGGGTTGGATTCGCATCTAATAAACTCATAGCCTCACTGAAATAAAAGGTACGAAAACAAATACAACTGAAAGGAGTTTTGTCAAACGGGGTTGCCAAGAATAAAACGTAACAAATATTAATAAATATATTTCCTTTATCATTTTATACTTTGCGATTTAGATGTCGTCGTCACGCCGATATGGAGGGCAAGACAACAAGTCGTACAACCCCTATAGTGACGATGAAGACGATCTAATAAATGGACTACCACATGCTTTGCCAACTAACAACTTAAAATCCTACAAAACTACCACAACGTAATTGTCCTTACATCGGTGATCAATACATACAATTCTTACTGAGTAGAAATCCAAAATCAATACGTAATCAATTGTGTATGGAAGTCACAACATTTATCGAATTGGTTAAAGAGATTGTGCGTAGAAATGTAGTAGATTGGTCTAACATGAGATTGTCATTGGAAGAGTCGTTGGCTATGTTCTTATTTATTTGTGGTCAAAGTTCACGCACAAGAAATGCTGGAGATCGATTTCAGCACTCAAATGAGACTATTCATCAGCATTTCGTACTTATGATGCGAGCGCTTGGAAATCTTGCGCCATTTATAATCCAACCACCAAACATGGCATTTAATGCCTACTGAAATTCGATATGACAGACGCTATTGGTCATGGTTTAAGGTAACATACATGACACTTAATTTGAATTTATTTTAATGGATAGAAGATTGTAGTTAATTTTTAACTAATGTTGAATATATCTTCATATGAACATAAATACAAACCAATATTTGTGTCATGTATGTTACCTTAAGTCTAATTTTAAAAATCATTTGATGTAGGACTGTGTAGGTGCCATAGATGGCACACATATTGCTGTTGTGGCACGAGAAGGTGACCAAATGCCATATCGACGTAGAAAAGTCAATACGACGCAAAATGTGATGGTTGCATGTTCATTTGACATGGTTTCACAGAAGGAGTGCCCTCATGAATAGTTTGTAAGATGTCCCAAGCCTCTTTTGCGACTTCACAATTGCAAATTCGACTAAACTCTTCAGGTGTGACAGCGCAAAAGAGAGAATTGATAGCTTTACTATTCCAGCTACTATTTTGGTAATCAATTGTGTCCCACTTTTCAATTGGTTTGGGGAAAGTTACTCCATCAATGGTAATTGTTGGTTCGGTCCACCCATTCATGACAGATTGCCAAACTTTTTCATCTATAGATTTCAAAAACGATCTCATCCGAACTTTCCAAAAAAAATAATTGGATCCGTCAAGTAGGGGTGGTCGAACCATAGAATTTCCCTCACGAATTGAATCAATTATCACAAATCAAACAAGATCTCGTTCTAAAAAAATATTTGTTTTAAAAAATATAAAACGACCTGCTCTGATACCAATTGAAAAATCTAAAAATCTCCTAGATATTGATTTGTGATTATGTATCAATTTTAAGCAGTGTATAACAATCTCAATCAAACAATCAAAATAAATCGACACAACGACTTTACGTGAAAAAATCACAATTGGACACCTCCAATTGTGATAAAAAAAACTACGGGCAACAATCACAAAACAATCCACTAAGAAAATATAAATGAATTACACAGGTATACTCTCAATTACCTAGCGAATCCATGCCTGAATTGAACTAACATCTATGTGTCTCTTCCAACCCCGTCTCCACCTCGGAATTGTCTTGACGATGAGCTACTCCGGAATCCACCAAAGCTTCAGGCTAGAATTCTTCAGAATCCACCGAAGAACAACTCTCTCTCTTTTGTGTAGAATAAACAAACAAACCTTTGATGTATGCTTCTTAAACCATGAGTTGAATACTCAATAAAAAAACATCAAAGAAAACTAACAAAATATCCCCAGATATAAACCTTAGAATCCAAAAAGAAGATCTGGAAGACTTGTCCAAGTTTTGAAAGAAAACCAACTACTTATAAAAATCCAAAATAATCCTAGCTTTGGAAGAAAATCAATTCCTTATAGAAATCCAAGAATCTGTATTCGTGCGGTCCGCTGGAGCATGTGAATTCCCGCTCAAGCAGAGGCTTCAAAATTGTGTGATTCATATAGGCTTCACGCTCGAGCGCAAGTTTCCACGCTCGAGCGTCGAATCACACCATTTAGTACTTTTTAAGGCGAAGCAGAGATGCTGTGAGCTTGCCATCCCACTCGAGCGTCCTTATTACCGCTCGAGCGGGATGACCAAAATTGAAAAATCTGAAAAACTAGATCCTATTACAACCTCGATTTTGATCCATGGAATGACAACAAAGAGCCCTAACACATTCTGTTCAATCAAATCAATAAGGCTCAAAATGGAGATGATCCAACATTCATAGAATCAAAATCAGAAAACCTAGGGCCACTGCTCCAATTAAACAGATCTAAGCAATGCAGATTGGAATTACCAGGACAATGCTTTTGCAGAGATGATCGATGGAATAGCCACCGAGTATGTCTCGTCGGGCTTCGGCACTAAAATCGTAGTAATCGAAGGGGACTCGCTTGAAGGAAAAGTCTCGTACGCCATTGCTGCGAAGGATGGCGGAGAGGCGGGCTTCGGTGGCGGCGGCGGCGTCGATGGCTGCGGCGTTGAGGTTTTCAGGGGGAGAGGAAACGGAGAGGGAGTCGGAGAAGTGTTGGGGCAAATGAGAGAGCTCGAACTCTGTGATTCGGTGGAGGAGTCGAGCTTGTAGTCTCTCTAGCTCCGCCAGTTCCTCCATTTTTTTGCCTACCTCTGCTTCGCTCTCTCCTCCCATCACCAATCAAGTGCGGCTGCGAGGTAAATTTGGCCCTTTTATGTTTTGCGATTTTTTTGTTTTAGTCCTTGAGTTATTTTATTTTATTTTATTTAAATGTTAGGTTTTAAATTTATTTCTAAAATTAATTTTTATTTAAAATTAGCTGAAAAATATAACGTTAGTTGTTACATAATATGAAAAGTATATTATTATAATAAAATTTTAATTTTTATTAAATTTGTGAGTTATATATAATTAAATAAAAAGCTTGCTAATCCAAATTAAATCATCTAGATTTTTCTAGATGGGCGATTATGTAGTGAATATTAAATTTGTATAGTGTGAGATCAGTGAATATTAAATTTGTATAGTGTGAGATCTACATGTACAATAAATTTGAATTATAATTCTTGATAATTTTTGAATAGCTAAGCTTGAATTCGTAATATTGTTGATAATAAAATATTTTTATGTCATGAGACTATTAATGTATGATTTTCTTGTTTGATTTTTTGAGTAAATTAAAATATATATATATACATATTGAAATATGAAGGGCCAAAATAGGGAGAGAAAAAACAATAATGATTAAAGTGAGAAAATTGTCAAATATAAAAAATGTAAAGTATGATTTACCTATTAAATGTGTAACAAATTAAAATCAACACTGTGTGTGTCAATTTCCGACCACACTGCCAATCAAGCACTCAGCTGGAGAACATTGGCAGAATAGATTAAGCCCGAATGACCTGTCACAAAAAGAAAAGATTCCGGCAGTGGTTCGTCCACCCGGGGGCACTCCGATAATCAAGTCAGTTATCTCTCAAAGACAGCAAAAGTGCTTAACTCACTATTCAGAACATAAAAAACATACCTTAGACCCATGAGGGTGCCTCTCTTTTATAGCCAACACTAACTTAATCCCAATGGAAACCTAGTTCCAATGGATTCAGGATTACTGCTAATTTTGGACTCTCAGTAAGATTGGGATAAACTCTCTAAGAGTCTTATCTTTACCCAAACTAAAGTCATTCCTCATTCTAGGACTCTTGTCCCCTGTCCACTTATCCCGGATTCCGGTATTTCTATAGATAACCTCGGCCTAGCCGAGATCATCTCGGAGTCAAGTCAAGGACACGTGGCACCTCGGCTGACACTTCGGTGCCACATCGGCCATGTGTTGCTACTAAAAAAATATGCCCCCACAACTGCCTCCTAAGTTTTATTACCTCGGCATCCTGAGGTGATAGAACCTATATCGTTTCTTCCACTTAGCACGTCGGCTATGCTCGCTCTGTCCTTCACTATTTTCCAAATCTTGGTAATATGCTAATCTCGGCAATATTTTGCAGATACTTCTTTAGAAATAACTTTGGCTTAACTTCAACTTGTAAATTGTTTAAAATTTCAACAAGTGTTAAACCAATTTTCTTTCAACATGATATCGATTTAACTTCAACTTGTAAATTTTTCTCAAAATTTCAACAAGTATTAAACATGGCATCGGTTTAACTTCAACTTGTAAATTTAAAATTTCAACAAGTATTAAACATGACCTTAGTTTAACTTCAACTTGTAAATTTAAAAATTTCAACAAGTGTTAAACTAATCTTAGCTTGTAAATTCCAACTCTCAAATATTATTCTCTTGCCCTCTTTGATTCGACGTGTCTTCTGGGATTCTCCCCTCCTTGATTCTCCATGCCCGACCTCCCGTGAAAGCCGGCGAGAATGCCTCTTTGCCCTGTCATGCTGAGGGACTGCAGGAACTGTGTTCTGCCCTCCTTTCTGGGCATCTTTCTTGGCCACTGGAATCAGCGTATCTTGTAAAAGGAATGGCGACTGCATAACGTTGTTCTGCATTATGAAATTGACGACCGTTTGCAGGTCCGCCAATTTGTTCGTCATTCCATTTATCTCGTCGTCCCTCCGCAGGCATCCATCCTTCCATACCTGTCGGTCATTCTCATTATAATACCCACTTCGGTCTGATTTCTTTGGCACGTCGCCCTCCTGGCCGACGTTCTTTTCTCCGTGATTTTTATCATGAGTCTTTTCGTTGCAGTTGTCTTCTTCGACGTTAAGGTCAATGTGTTTCTCGCTCCCAGTAGGGGTGTCGTCCCCAACCTTCTCTTTTTGTCCGTCGTTGGCCATCTATTTTCCTTTCTTTCCCACAGACAGCGTCAAATTGTGTGTGTCAATTTCCGACCACACTGCCAATCAAGCACTCAGCTGGAAAACACTGGCAGAATAGATTAATCCCGAACGACCTGTCACAAAAAGAAAAAGATTTCAGCGGTCAAGTTAGTTATCTCTCAAAGATAGCAAAAGTGCTTAACTCACTATTCAGAACATAAAAGGCATACCTTAGACCCATGAAGGTGCCTCTCTTTTATAGCCAGCACTGACCTAATCCCAATAGAAGCCTAGCTCCAATGGATTTAAGATTATTGCTAACTTTGAACTCCCAATAGGATTGGAATAAACTCTCTAAGAATCTTATCTTTACCCAAACTGAAGTCATTCCTTATTCTAGGACTCTTGTCCCCTATCTGCTTATCTTGGATTCTGGTATTTCTGCAGATAACCTTGGTGTAGACACCCCATTTTTGACCAACCTTAAGATTCAGACGTCACCGATTGAGCGCTCGATGATGGTGCATATTGTGCTCATTCAGAAGTATCAGAGTCTCGGCTGCGAGCCTTGCCTCCGGGCTTCCGAACTCTTTCATGCTTTGCCTCGGTTTGCGAACCAGGCTCTGTTTTCTCTGTTTTCTCTTTTCGAAGGGAGGGAGAGGTCTCGTAGATCATCTCTCAGTGGCTGTAGGCTACGTTTCATGGTCGTAGGCCATTTTGCCCGTTTGGAGCCCGGTTTCCCGTTTTTCAGAGCCGTTGGCCGTGTGCCTCGGTTCGGGAACGCTTAACCACCTCCGTTTGCTCCGATTTTTGGCATGCATCTTATTTGCTCCCTTTTGAGGGACACTGTGGCTCGAGAGACCAACTCCGTTGTCGAACGCCTTATAGCCAACACTAACTTAATCCCAATGGAAACCTAGTTCCAATGGATTCAGGATTACTGCTAATTTTGGACTCTCAGTAAGATTGGGATAAACTCTCTAAGAGTCTTATCTTTACCCAAACTAAAGTCATTCCTCATTCTAGGACTCTGGGCTACCCGATCACCATTTTACAAAAAAAAAAAAAAAAAAAAAAAAAAAAAAAAAAAAAAAAAAAAAAAAAAAAAAAAACACCCACACCCACAGAGGATTTTCTTCTCTACTCTGCTGCAGGTCTCTTCTCTGCTCCGTCCTGGACGCCCTGCCGGTGTTGCCTCCGTGTTCCTTTGTCCACCGAAGCACGTTCACTCCCCCATTACTCCTCCACTGCAGCATCTTTAATGGCGGCCCTCCAAACGGAAACATCACGAGTGGCCTTCCGCTTCAGCTCCTTGTTTTCTGCCCTTAAAGCACGCTTATCTTGCTCCGCAATCCTTACATGCGTTGGAGCAGAAGCCAGTGGAGAGTTAATCTGTTGCACCTCATTGTCACTGCTCTGCAGCCGTGCCGACAAGTTTGTGTCGAACCGCCGTCATGGTTTCCACACCGGTGACTTCCCAAAGATATACTGATTGGCCTCCACATCCGACTGCATCATTCTTTGCTCCACAGACCGCTATCGGAAAAGTTCCAGACGGGAGCAAAACTCCGGGACGCTTGGTTGGGTTCCCAGTGCCACCGCACCAGTTCTCTCGTCTCGTTGACTCGATTGAGGTCGGAAAGAGGAGTCGAGCAAGCCGCGGGGAGAGATGAAGCCATTTTCGAGGGCAACGAAGTGTCCACAGTATCTCTCTCGAAACTCTCTCTCAGAAAACAGAGCTGTCTACAGTATTCTCTCAGAAAATCTCTCTAGACAACAGAGTGTTACGAAATCTCTCTCAGAAATCTTCTTCAGAATATCTTCGCAAGTTTTGTCTCAGCCTTTTGCCTCGGCCTCAGCTCCGTTAATAGCCAAGGAGCCACGCGCATCGCGCGCCTTTGCCACCTAGCCGAAAAAAACGGGGCACGCAAACCAACCGGCACTCACGTGCCTCGCCATTTCATGTCCGGCACACCTTTTGATGAATTGGGCACGCCTTTTCATGCACGCCTTTTGACAAAATGGCACACCTTTTGAGGGTGCGGACCTTTAAGGTCCGACAAGATCTGTATGCCGACATAGATTCTCGGTTAGTTTCTACAAGGGTCCTAAAACGTAAACTGTCCCGACATTGATTCCTGGGAGTTTCTACAAGGGTCCGACAAGACTCTGTAAACTGTCCCCGACTAGATTCCGGTTAGTTTCTACAAGGGTCCGACAAGACTCTATAAACGGTCGGACATTGATTCCGCTTAGCTCTTTAAGGGTCCACAGACTGTGTAAACTGTTTCCCGACATTGATTCCGGTTTAGTTTCTACAAGCGGTTCCAGCAAGCTCCGTAAAACTGTCACAACAATGTCACAACATTGTCTAGCTACAACGGTCCGACATGACCCCATAAACTGTCTTCTACAACGGTTCCGACATGACCCCATAACTGTCTTCTACAACGGTCCGACATTGACCCCATAACTGTCTTCTACATCGGTCTGACACCCCCATTACGTGTCCTTCTACAACGTTATGACACCACCATCCAGTGTCCTCTTACAACGTTATGACACCACCATACAGTGTCTTCACCATCAGTCTGACACGCCATACAGTGTCTCCTATCCTTCTTTTATTTTTATGTATTTATTATTGTTCTCTCTTCAAACTTCAAGTTGGCTAGTTTCTATCCTCCTTGAGTTTGCGGGGCGCTGTTAAATATATTCATCACTACCACCTCCACTCAAACTTCACTACCACACACACTCACCTACTCCCCAATCCTCTCTTATATAATGAGTACTCACCATCTTTGTAATTTACACAATAATCAAACATCAATCAATAATCATCAAGACATTATATTTTTTACAGAGTTCTTAATCTATTTTCATATCCAATTTTGTAAATTATTTTTTCTTCACTTTTT